AGGAAATCCTGGAGAAGATGAAAGTCAATGTGTTTAATTGAGAGTATAATTGTTTGGTATGAATTTAAACTTGGAATGAGAAGCTTCTCATTTGTCAGGGAATTCCAGGAAGATGGGTATCCAAATGTCCAGCATAAGGAATGGGAGTGGCATGAGGCTTAAGAGTCCAGCACTAAGTTGTGTGAGATCATTTTCAGTTGTAACTCCTGGGATGAGGCATACCTGGGTGGTCGACAAATACCTTTGATGTCGACACCCACGCGTCCAGACTACCGTGCTGAGCCGACAAACAGCCGATCGGCTCAGCGCGGCAGCCATGTAAATTTAAATGAAGCGGCGATTATTTAAATCGTGAACCTGTAAACTAATCAAGATGCCCCAAACAAAGGCAGAGGGGGTTTCCCTCAAAAAAAAGTTGTTTCTCTAGGTATTTGTGAGACCTGAGTCCATAAATACTGTAGTGGGACATTAGGAGGCGTCATCTCCTTACAGAACAACAGGGTTTCTTACATGAGTAAAGCTAAACATATGCATAAGGGTTTTCAATATTGGTGTTTTAATTTACAGCAAAGAGATATCACTAAGTGTACCAGAATGAGAAACCTTCCTCTTTATCAGCCCGTGACTGCATAATAAAATGGCAATGGATATTTCCTGCCATAAAATGTAATGCTGCCAGTGCATTGTAATCCACAAAAGTCATGCTGGAATTAATAGGCATCTGAAGTTGCCCACAAATATCTATTTGAATGAGAGTCTTGTGCTATAAATGCCACTGGTTTCACTGATTTATTTCCAGAATGACTATCAGTAACTCTTTGAGGAATATAGAGGACTGAATTAGCTCTTCTGATACATACTCAGATAGTAGACTTTCTGTGTTAAGAGGGGAGATTATTGGAGAAACCCTTGAAGAACCTAATCTTCAGGCCTTGTTCTTTGCTCTTCTAGTTGTTGTTTCATGGGTGTACCATGCTGGCCACAGATGTACCCTTAACATTGTAATGCTAGTGACACGACATAGAAAGAGTAAAAATATCCTGAAATGTACATGCATTTTCATAATGTAAATAGGTAATTTCATTCTGAGTTATTGTAGGATCCCACAATAAGCGTGTATGGGATGGGTAATTGTTAGGATGAAAGACCTCCAAAGAAAACTTAGATGTTTGAGGAAATAGTCTTGATGAGTCAATATGAGGTTCTTTTCACTCTGAGACTTCACTTAAATTGGTACCACAGTTAAAAGGTGCTGTGATGTTGGAAGGTACCCTTTCTTAGGGTACGTCTAGACTCAATGCCTCTGGCGACAGAGGCATGTAGATTAGGCTACCAGACATAGGAAAATGAAGCGGCGATTTAAATAATCACCGCTTCATTTAAATTTCCATGGCTGCTGTGCTGAGCCGACAAACAGCTGATCAGCTGTTTGTCGGCTCAGCGCTATAGTCTGGACGCGCGGGTGTCGACATCAAAGGTATTTGTCGACCACCCAGGTAAACCTCATCCCAGGAGGCATACCTGGGTGGTCGACAAATACCTTTGATGTCGACACCCGCGCGTCCAGACTATCGCACTGAGCCGACAAACAGCTGATCCGCTGTTTGTCGGCTCAGCGCGGCAGCCATGTAAATTTAAATGAAGCGGTGATTATTTAAATCGCTGCTTCATTTTCCTATGTCTGGTAGCCTAATCTACATGCCTCTGGCGACAGAGGCATGTAGTCTAGACGTACCGTATGATGAAGTGTAGGGGTTAAATCCTCATTTGGTGAAGTCAGTGGCACTAAACTAGTTTAAATCTGCTGAAAAATCTTCCCCTTATGTATAAACCTAAAGACTGAAAGCCCATGTTGTGTCACCAGGTGTAATTCACAGAATCATGTGTGCATGTTTTTGTTTTTTATGAAAAGGCCAAAAATTGCTGAGAACTTAAAAACTAGAAAGTAATAGACCACAAATCCCAGTGATGATTGAACCTGATACTCTAAAGCAAGAAAACCCTCAATTATGCTTGTAGCTGTTTCTGTCAGTTCACACTCACTCAGCGGATATTCTAGGCTTCAAAGTAGTGCTTGGGGTTAACCATTATTCAAACAAAACACACATTGACTTGAGTAAATCAGTATCTAGTTGAGTATCTGAGCTATTTGCCTTTCTAACAGCTTTAGTCTAGAGTGGCCTGGATACTCAGAGCCATAGTATCTAGCTAGCTTTTGGAGGGGTGGCTTTTCTTCTATATTTTGTCTTGCTTTCTACTGAGTACATAGACTCCAGTATGATTTGTTGCAGGGCTAAATGAACTATTTCAGTTCAGGAAATACATATGGGCATTGGTGCCAGAGTAAAAGAGAGAGTAGTCACATATTTATCCACTTAAACGCAGATGTAAGAGCCTAACTTTAGGCATCCATTTTTTTGAAACCCTTGGGCTATGTAATTTGATTGCTGTGAATTATAGGAAAAAAAAAAAAAAAAGCACTTTTTGCGGAAAAGCGTCCGTGCCAATCTAGACGCGCTTTTGCGCAAAAAAGCCCCAATCGCCATTTTCGCGATCGGGGCTTTTTCTACACTGGCCCTTTTGCGCAAAAGTTTTGCGCAAAAGGGACTTTTGCCCAAATGGGAGCAGCATAGTATTTCCACAAAAAGCACTGCTTCCTTACAGTAGGAAGTCAGTGCTTTTGTGGAAATTCAAGCGGCCAGTGTAGACAGCTGGCAAGTTTTTCCGGAAAAGCGGCTGATTTTCCAGAAAAACTGGCCAGTCTAGACATAGCCCAGCAGTAAGTGACTCAGGGAGGGTGATGGAGTAGTATCTGCCCATCAAGTAAACTCAGTATGTTTCAGTAGGTCCACACTTATCTACCCTTCCCAGTGAGCCAATGACAAATCTCTCTGCCATGGTTAGCTTGGTGAGCTCTTTTTTTTTTTGAGTTGGGGCATGTGACAGGGCATCTGCCCTGTACTGGCCCTTTAAGGGCAAAAACCCAGCTCTGAGTAAGGGCTGAGAGTGAAGCCCCAGCTGAGGCAGTTATTGCTAATTAAGGCCCTGGGGACTATATAAAGAAGGGCTCTGGGAGAGAGAGAGGAAGACTCACTCTTTTTCTGGCTAGAGAGTAGGAGAGACCTGGCTTCCTGGGGGTAGAGCAGGGCTGGGGAAAGGCAGGCAGAGCTGGGGAAGCTCTGGCCAGGCAAGCTCCCAGGTTGCAGGGCCTGGAGCAAGGCCTGAGACTACTGCTCTGGGCTCCAGGGAGCCAGCCAGTGAAGACAAAAGCAGCAGGTCCACACCCCCTTGCCAATGATGAGTGGCTATTACAGACTGCAGTTTGCCCCGAGGCAGGGGTTAGATGAAGACTGGCAGTGGGTCACTGAGTCAAGGAGCTTATAGGGGAACTGGGTGTTCCCTGTGAGGGAGGACCCTGGAGTGCAGAGACTGATAAACACCCATTCCCCCCAGAAGGGGGCTAAGCATCATGGGAGTGGGCACTGCTTTGCTATGTCTACACTGGCGGGTTCTTGCACAAGAACTCTTGCACAAGAACACATCCACGCTGCCATGTGCTTTTGCACAAGAGCATTCATGGCAGTGTGGACGCACTCCTGCGCAAGAAAGCTCTGATGGCCATTTTAGCCTTAGGATTTTCTTGCACAAGAAATCCCTGCCGCGCGTCCACACTGCCCTCTTGCGCAAGAGCTCTTGCGCAAGAGGGCTTACACTTGTTAGAAAAAAGCATAGCTCTTGTGCAAGAAGCCCTGTCTTCCGACGCCGTACTGTAGATCTTCAGCTAGAGGGGGCGGGCAGTGTGGACACTCTGCAGGTTCTTGCACAAGAACCCGCCAGCGTAGACATAGGCCTAGGAGGGTGACGTGGATCTGGAAGAGGATGAAGGGGAGTGAAGATACAGGAAGACACCGGTAGGCACCCAGTGCTACCGGAAGGAGGCGCTAATTCCCAGTGCTACTGGAAGAAGGTGCTGTGGTGGTGAGTCCACCCCATAGGTACGTCTAAATTACATCCCTCTTTCAAAAGAGGGTTGTAAATTAGACAAATCAAAATTTCAAATGAAGCCAGGTTTTGAATTTCTCGTGCTTCATTTGCATAATCACATCATGGCGTTTTTTTGAAAAACGCTATTTCAAAAGTGAAACCGCAGTCTAGACACCGGTCTTTTGAAAAGAAAAGCCTTTTTCGAAAGATCCTGTACTCCGCAAAAAATGAGGTTTACAGGATCTTTCGAAAAAGGCTTTTCTTTTCAAAAGAACCACGTCTAGGCCATGGTTTCACTTTCAAAATAGTGTTTTTCAAAAAAACACCATGACGTGATTATGCTAATGAAGCACGGGAAATTCAAATCCCAGCTTCATTTGCAATTTCGATATGTCTAATTTACATCTCTCTTTTGAAAGAGGTACGTAATCTAGACATAGCCCATGACAGGCAAC